CCTGAGCTGACCAAGCATAGAGATGAATGCAATATGGGAACCAGTAATAAGGAGTGCCAGAGAAAAGTGCTAACAACAAAAATTGCAATATAAGCTCTAGTAAAAACATGTCATGATAACAGCAAAAAATTGCAATATGAGCACTGGTAAAAAATTGGTTGCTGAGACATTAGATATATAATACCCAGAAATTCAGACACAGATGTCCTCAAGAACACATGGCACAGTCGATAAAGGTGTTGGTTATATCCAGTGACAGGACCCAAAGAGCGTGAGTTCAATACTTGGTTAAGGCAGTGGAGAACTTGGAGAGGGGAATTAACAGTAGATAAATGATAACTGACATCCATTAAACATGGGATGTGGAACTAGAACAGTCTACTCCAGTGAGTGAAATAAAGGGTTCAGTTCGACATTCCAACTGCCTGAAGAAGGCCGGAGTATACAACGGCCGAAACATTGTAATAAATATGATGACAATAGTCTGAATAATGTAAATACTCATTTTCAAAATGTGAACAAAAGATATGACACATATTTCTACATTTGGCATGAAGGATTTTCATTCCTGACACAATAGTGCTGTCAGTATGATTGTGAAGAAAGGATCACAGTTTATAGATTCAAAGTGACAATTTATAAATATTTGAAATTGTTTCAAATTTAGAGAATTCAGAACAGGCCAAGAAACTTAAATTTTGAAGTGTTTTAAAAATTATTATATTTGTGTTTTTTTCTTTTTTTAGATTGTGCCCTATATTGTTTGTTCAAATCTTTGGACATAATTCTAATTTAACATTTTGTAACATCCCCAGAAACTGCCATTATCCACCTAATAAAACACTTAACAAACATGTGTAACTATGTCTTATAAAACTTGTGTTCCTATCCTTTAATCATGTTTTATAGAACTTTTGCTTGTTAAAATTTGGTGCTTTGATGGGCTATATCACACAAATGGAGTTAATGAAAAGAAGTCCTAATCACTTTTTCCCTGTTAACTTTATAATTACAAGTTATATTTGACAGTAAATTTTAATTCTATGGGATTAAGAAAATAATCTAATTGAAATTAACTGCTTATAATTGCATTTTACAGTGCATTTACAAACAAATAAAATAATAAAAATTACAATTGATTTTTTATATATGGGGATTTGATTTTGGTAAATTTAATAATATTCTCCCAAATCATCTCAATTTTATTTACAGTTATCTCAATTTATATCTCTCACCTCAGCACCTATTTTTCTCATTGTGATCAAGATATAAAATCTCTCCAGTGACAGTAAATAGAATCCAATTAACCATCATTTAATTTGTCACATTTCGATGATGGCTGACATGTTCCAAATCATCCTTCTTCCTCTGCTTGTGGAAGGCCTATTATCAGGTAAAAAAAAATTCATGTATATTCATAAATCCATGACAAGATCCCAGCCTCTCATCCCAAAGGTGGACAAAATCTCAGTCTCGTATATAAACAAATTTAACATTGAAAATTCAAGGAACTTTTAATATAAATTTTAATGTCAAATTGACACATTAATAATAATATCCATATGTACTCTTAGATGAATAATTTTGTTTGGTACTTCACAAGTTCATGGGTCCTACACTGTTTACTATAGAAATTCATTGTAAGTCTATCCAACGTCTAAAAAACATTTTCTAACAATATTACAGTCATATATTTGATATACTTCTGTTACAATGAGCATTGTAGTGCTAAAAACATAAGTAATGCTCTGTTAACTTGCCATGACGTCTGTATTAATTAGTCTGAAGACTGACTGCAAATGGCTTCTTTTTACCTCTGACTTGAAGCTTTTTATTTATAGTTATGGACTAGTTCATATAGTCACTGAGGTGGGTACTATTTATTCCACAATATCACCCCCTTTTGAGATTAAATATTTTATTTTTTTTATTAGTATTAGTATCTCCCCTACCTCTTTCTGGAGAATTTGCCAACGTACTTGACTTTGTAAAATTTTCGTCCTGGATCCTCTTCTAGTTCTTCAGTACGCTTTCTTTTTCAGGAACTTGTCCTTGTAGGTCCTGAGCTCTTGTGGGTGATGAATTATTCTCCAACCTTCAACCTCTCACCAACAGGTAGGATGTGGCAAGCCTATTGCTGCTCTACTGCTACTCCTGTGGAAAGTGCTCAGATGAGCTAGTTTCCCTGGTTCTGCTGAGGTAAACCTTTATAGCAAGAACACGCCATAGTAGGAAACCACCTACATTCCCTGCTCAGTCAATGAATACCAAATGTTTCCTTATAAGGAAACAGCTAATATTAGCTTTATCATTAGAGATGTAGAAAGCATACTATACTCTGATCCCAGCTTGATTCTGAGGACTAATATTACCATATGTAACACTACTTATGATATTTACCCAGTCTTTCCACTGAGACGTGATGTGATGCAAAGTCAGGTTTAATGTGAAGAACCTGAGTGTTAAACCTGACTTTGAACAAAAATCATCCAGCCAAAACAGAAATTACCCAGACCTTGCAACTATTGGTTATTCTGGCATCAGTATAACTAGCGATCACTCCTTTCTAGTGCAATGAAGGAGTGTTATGTCTTTATTGCATTGAATGAAGATAACACAGTCAAGAAGTATTATGTCGTTTGGAGTTGATATAGTCTTGCTGAAGTAGGTAGTAAGCAGATAAGTTCGATCTCTAACTCTCTACTTATTTCCTCTTTTCTCTTTCTACTGACAATTCTTGGTGTTAGTCTATATGTATTTGGATGAGTCCAAGTCCTCTTCTCACCAGATTTATTTACTTAAACAGTGAGGTAAAACTTTTTTTATTTAACTAAATGTCTACCAATACAAGGCCTAAGAGCCACTCAAGGTAATATGTTAACACGATGAGGTTTTTGTATGTACATGAGAGGATAAGAGGTAGAATTTACAAGGATATGTGAAAGAACAATGGTAAACCCTAGACATGAAGAGGATAAGATTGTAGTGATTAGGAAGATGGTTATATAAAGTACCATTTCTCAGGAGGAAGAACTCTCAGTGAAACTTTCTTCTTATCAATGGAATATGAAGGGAATGAGGATGATTTGATCTTGCATACATTCAATCCAATGAAGACATAACACTCCTTCATTGCACTAGATTCGATCTTGCATACATGACATGGCAGGTACAAGCTGTAAAGATCTGAGCTGGTGGGATGAAGGAATGTAGCTTATCTGAACATTTGCCATGGAAATAGCAATAGAGTAGAGAGAGGCTTAGCTGTAAAGATCTTATCTTGTGGAATTAAGGAATGTAGCTTGTCTGAACATCTGCTATGGAAATAGCGACAGAGAGAGGCTTAGCTGTAAAGGTCTGAACTGTTGGAACTAAGGAATATATCTTGTCTGAACATTTACCATGGAAATACTGTTATGTCTCCTTTGCATTCAATGAAGATAACACAATCAAGAATTAGTATAATGCTTGGAGTCAACTTAGTCTTGCTGAAATAAGTAGTAAGCAGATAAACTAGATCTCTAATTCTCTACTTGTTTACTCCTTCCTCTGATGATTCACGGCACCAATCAATATGTATTTGGATGAGTCCAAGTCCTCCTCTGGAGAGGTGTGTTCATCTCCATAACAGGGAGGTACAGCCATGGGCAGCTGTTCCTCAGGAGCAGGAACCCCTCAGTAGATTTTTCCCTTATCAGCTGCGTTACTGAAGACTGACACACAACTAAGAGAGGATAAGACCTACCCAGCATGTGCCAGGTAAGTATAAAATAATTCTGCTTATAGAAATGTGTAATTACTACCCAAGTAGTAACCCAACTCCCTGAGAGTACTTCGTGATGCCTGCTTGGTCTCACAATCTCCACTGACATGAAGTAGAATAAATACATTGAATCAATAGCTTCATCTAGCGCAAGGAAAGTTGGCTCTCTGTGTTATGCCAGAAAGTTTTTCTCATCTGACTCCATCCTTCAAATCTATAAATCAACCATCCGTCCTTGCATGAAATATTGCTGTCATATATGGTCTGGTGCTCTTGCTGTAGGTCTCAAGGTCCTTGACAAAATCCAGAGATGAATATGCAAGATGATAGATCCTGATCTGGCATCTAGTCTATAATCGCTATCCCTCAGACGTGCTGTGGCCTCCCTCTGTCTCTTATACAAATATTTTCATGACAACTGTTCTGATGAGCTACTTTCACTGGTTTCCGGACTACATGAATTTAAACAAGCTACCAGGCTGGCATCTCGGTCCCACCCTTTCCCTGTCAAAATAGTAAATGTAACCCTCTCTTCTTCTCAAACAGCTTCTTTTCCAGCACTTCCCATCTGTGGAACTCCCTTCCTCTTACTTGCTTCCCTAAGGACTATAATCTTCAAATATTCAAGTGTAATGTCAATTGACATCTGATACCTTGATCTTGTTCCCTGTCCTTCCCCTGTATCCTTTCCTCAAACACACCTCTTTACTTTTGTTCTCAGTCCTCTGTAACCCATTGCATACTAGTGGCACTCCTGCCTTGTTTGGGGTGAATTGCCTTAAAAAAAATATTCCTGCTTAGCATAATATATAAAAATAAACTTAAATAAAAATTAGAACGTTCTGGTAGGTGCCTTAAAGGAGTGTGGGGACATTTATTTATTTTTATTTTATTTTTTTTTTTAGGAAATTCTCACCCCCACCATCAAGCTGATTAAGACCATATCATGTATTTTTATATTTTTTACACTTCAAATTATTTTCCAAAAACCTCCTCTTTTATAAAGTCCCTTGCATAGAAAAATTCTATCCCTGACCATTATTGAAATCATCCCACTCTTGTATTAGCACTCCAAGAGTATATTTTTAGTCTCTAATATAAAAGTCTGAGAAATCTTTGCAGAATTATAAGAAATGGGTGTGTTTCTTATTTGAGCTTTTCTCCTGCTTAGACTCATTATTCTGAAAGCAGAGTCTTTAATCTTTGGAGCTCATCCATTTTTTTTTCTCTCCTTTTACTTCTTTCAGCATTCTGGATTAAAGATTTTTTTTTCTTTCAGATAATTCTTGATAGAAAAAATTAATCTCTTAAAATTTCTTGTTTTTTTCTCTCTTGGTGTTCAGTTTTGAGTTCAAGAAGTTATCCTTCCTTTCTCTCTTGTTTTTTCTTTCCTTTCTTTCTTGTTTTTTCTTTCCTTTCTCTCTTGTTCTTTTCTTTCCTTTCTCACATGTTTCTTTCTTTCCTTTCTCTCTCTTTCTTTCTTTCCTTTCTCTCTCTTTCTTTCCTTTCTCTCTTTTTTCTTTCTTTCTTGCTTTCCTTTCTTTTTGTTTCTTTCTTACCTTTCTGTCATTTTTCTTTCCTTTCTCTTTTGTTTGTTTCCTTACTTTCTTTCTTTCTTTTCACTTTGTTTTTTCTTTCCTTTCTTTCTCTCATTTCTATCTTTCTTTCCATTCTCTTTCGTTTTTTGTTTCTTTCCTTTCTCTCTTGTTGTTTTTTTCCTTTTTCTCTTGTGTCTTGTGTTTTCATGGTGTAGGATAGTTGTGTTCTTGATTAGTCATTTTTTATATTGTGAATGTTTTATTTGTCTAATTGACAATCATTACTATCCTCACAATAGATGAAAAAAAAAATTCAGATTACAGATACTAGAAGCAATTTATATTAAAAAATTAAAATGGCATCGAATAGAATCAACTATGAATACTTCAGTAATATTCTGAAATGCCTGTAAAGTAACAGTCTTTTAATGTTTTAATGCACACATGACCATGACATAACCTAAAGAGAAAAAAATTTCATAATGGATAATTTTTTCACATACTAATGAACGCTTGGCACATTGTCAACCATTTTGCATTTAAAAGCATAATGAAAAAATTATGGTAATGGAAAACAATGCCTAATTTTGTATAAATACTTGTACTAATGGACAAGATATAAGGTACTAGTTACACTCCTGAAGATGATCTTGGAAGAAAAATCGAAGTACTTGGGAAATGAAAATAAAAGAAATTTAAACAGTTATAGCACATTTATATTGACCACTAATATTATCTCTCTCTCTCTCTCTCTATATATATATATATATATATAATTCTCAGAATTAATCTGTCGAAAATGTTAATATGTATAAAGGAAAAAAGAGAATATCAAAATATTTCTACATTTAAAAATTTTCTTCAAACATAAAAAATAAATGACATAATTTTTCAGTTGACCCAATGAATATATATAATAATTTAAAAATTCTTCTAGTAACAACATTCTGTCTTCGGGTATGGTTGTAAATCAGAGAAAAACCAAAATAGAAAAAAAATAATTCTGTATTCGTCAACATATGAGTAGCAGGAACTAAATAAATGTTACTCATGGCCGTAATAAATGGCGGGATATAAGTATATATAATTTTAATGGGATATATTATATTATTATATATATATATATATAATATAGGATTATATATATATATATATATAAATATATATATATATCGAAGTATGATATATATTTAGGATTTATATATATTTACATTGAAAAATATATGGTCCAATAAAATTGAGATGAAATTTAAACGAGAAATTTTAAATAAAAATATTTTATATATTTCGTTTCAATGTTTTTTAATATAGTTTAATATCTATGATACTATAATAAAATTCCATCCATTTGCCCCTATAAAATGATAGAACATCAAACGTTTTTATTATATATATTAAAAAATAATCCTGACGTTATATATATTTAAGAATATTTTACACATGTAATTACGTTAACATTTTTTGAATTGCTAGTTTTTCCTATTTTTTGAACTTCTTTTTTATCTAATTTGATTAAATATATTTTGATTTTTTTATGGTTTTTTAAAAATTTAAAGGTTTGGAGTTAAATAAAAAAAAAACAGGATAAATTTGAATTGTCAAAATAATAACTTTGCAAGATTCAATTTAGAGAAACCAAAATTATTTATGTTTCCTCAAGGGTTTAAAACAAACTTCTTCAATTAATCCAAATTTGTAAAATAATTGTATTTTTTGCCTAAAAATGATGGCTCACATGACATATCTCTGACCATTGCTCAATTAATATTTCTGCCATTCCATATACACATGGTAACCTACCAAAATCTATTTAATCAATAACTATTAAATATTCAAAATAATATCCTTATCCACAATTTAAAAAAATGGGCTAAAATAATGCAAGTATTATTAATAAAAAAGAAGAAGCCAACACTCAGTAATATCAACTATGAAGACGGTCTTTAGAAAATAAAACATTCCAATAATTTTAGATGTATACATAAAACAATCCATTCATTCCGTTAAAAATAAAATTTATCCCTGATAATGGCTAAAAATCATAGCAAAACAAAACCCTGTCTATCATTTTTAATGAAACATGTATAAATGAAGGATTTCCAAAGGTGCCCAAATAAATCAGTATTTCGATATATATATATATATATATATATATATATATATATATATATATATATATATCTATAAAAAAGTGTGTGTGCGTGTGTGTGTAACGAATGCACGGCCGCAATTTTCGACGGATTTGCACCAAAATTTACATACACATGCTCCAAGTTAGTGGGAAGGCCAAGACTGACTTTGCAGTTCACCAACTCCCATCGATAGTGGAAATAATCAATTTTTTCATACTTCTATGGCAGTTTTCATGTAGTTTACGGGCATTTTGTACTGGCCAGAGTGAGTGCCTAAAAGCTGGCTGCCATGAATAGGCAGGAAGATTCTATTGGCCAGCATGAGATTTCAACAGTTGACTGACACGAATGTTAACTAGCATGCTAGCATGCAAAAAAATCGATAGCTGCATTCGTCACAAGTGGGAAAAATTTAAATCTGCATGGCTCTTTACTTCAATTAGCTCATTCACTTGATTAAACTCAACGTTGATTCTAATTCTGCAGAACTGGGTTGGGTGTGAAAAAGTATTTGTTGTTAACATTGTTTTTTTCATTCAGTTTTTCAGTTACAAGTCCTTTTTAAAGCTGATCCTTTTGTGTTCATTTTGTTTAGTTCTTTTTTCGTAACAGATTTAATGTTTAGTATAGAGCTTAGAAAAAATTTGCAGTGTGAGATAGGCAGAAGTAATTAATGTTCAACAAAACAGAATGTTCCTAGGCAACTGGTAAAATTTTAACATTCTGTTTTTTTTTTTTTTAATTGTTCAATTAATTTCATTTTCGTATTTTGCTTTTGATTTTGAAGTCACATTGGACAAAACGTGTCAGCCATTACTAGTTTTCCTATTGTCATTTTTATTCATAAATATTGTCTTAATGCGATTGGCTAAATCAGAAAAAATTTATATATATATATATATAAATATATATATATATATATATATATATATATATATATATATATATATTTCTTTTTTAGAAAAATAAAAAAGTCTTGACACTTCTATGGGTGGAGCTTTTCTTAGAAAAGCAGAACTGATAAAATTTCAAAGTCTCCAACTGTTCATCATCCCTGTCAACACTTTCATGGAATCTTCCACAGGTAATTCAAGAATATTTTCAAATTTCTCTGGCATTACTTTTACCAAAAATGTTCATTTAACTATAGATGGGTTAACATTTATTAAAATACCCTGTGGTATGTCTGAGGTGATATCTACCCCTTATCCACCCAACAGAATATTATATATGCCTTCTGTTTCTTTCATGAGTATCATGTTTTGTGTTGAAAGTAGCAAAACATGTCAGCTGGTAGACAACATATAGGCCAATGATTCTCAATGTGGGTGGTAATGCCCCCTTGGGGGTGCTAAGAAGTCTCAAGAGGGCAGTGTTCAAGGGAGTTATGGCGATGCTATAATTTTAACAGGGCAGTAACATGATATATCACTTTGAACTCTGAGTGGAACAGGTCACAACATTTGATATGCAAATTTGTTTTTTGCTTATATATTTATTTTTTTCAAGAAATATTTTAAATCTTTAACTGCAATTTCAATATGTTCATATAACAAAAAAACCTGCAAGTCTGCTAATTTCTGCAGTTTGACCCAGTAACTGCCACAAGGACATTCTTGCTACTGCTTATTTCTGACAATTAATGGTAATATAATGCAACAAAATATAACAATTTGATATTAACCCTGTTGCATAAAACTCTGCTCCATTTACCAGTGCAATTTTAATGTGCATTTCTTCTTTCCCCTCTCTCTTTCACTTCTTTCCCTTCTCGCTCTCTCAATTTAATTCCCTCCTCTCTGTTCAAAATATCTTTCTTTCTATATTTCCCTTTCCTCTCTCTTCTACCATCTCTCTACCTTTTCTCTCTCTTCCCCACTGTCTCTATCCTTTTTTATCTCCTCCACTGTCTTTATCCTTTTTATCTCTTTCCCCTCTCTCTATCCTTATCTTTTTCTTTGTCCATCTTCTCTCTTTTTTTTTTCTAAATCAACATCTCCTTTTTTATTGTCTCTCTCCCCATCTTGTTATCCTTTTCACTCTCTTCCCTCATCTCTCTATCCTTTCTATCTCTTCCACCATCTCTTTATTCCTTATCTCTCTATCCTTTTCTCTCTATTCCCCCCTTTTATTTTTGTTTTGAAACCAACATAACACATAATTTTTTCTCTCTTTTTTTCTTTTTTCTTAATTCCATTATTTCTATCTCCTTTCCAGTCTCTTAGCCCTTCTCTCTCCTTTTCTCTCTCTTCCCCATCTCTCTATCCATTTCTCTCTCTTGCATCCATCTCTCTATCCTTTTCTCTCTTTTTTTTTTTTTAAAATTTCCTGTCATATCCCTCATATCTCTCTCATTTTTTTCTTTCATACAACTCTTTTTTAATCCTTTCTCATTCTTTTTTTTCTTTTCTGTCTCTTCCCCCATCTCTCTCTCCTTTTCTCTGTCTTCCCCCATCTCTTTCTCATTTTTTTCTTTCCCCATCTATATCTTTATTTTTTCTTTGTTGTCCCCCATTTTCTCATTTTTTCTCTTTCTTTTCCATCTCCTTTTTTCTCTTTTCCCATAAAACTTTATCCCTTCTTTTTTTTTTGCCATCTCTTGTCCCCCATCTCTCTCTTTTTTCAAGAACCCATCTCTTTTTTTAAATTGTTATCTCTTATATATATATAAAATCTTTTCCTGGTTTTTTTCTTTTTCTGCCTCTTTCTCTCTCATTTAGTAAACTTTAATAATTTTATTCATGCCAACCTGAAAAAAACAAACTTTAATTCAGTCAAATTATCAAAATTGTCATGTTGAATCTCATTTATCTTGAAATCCATTTCAACTTTTTTATATTATTTTCTTTTCCTTTTTTTAATTCCTCATTTAAAACCTTTTAATTTTGCAAATTTTTTCCTTCAATTCTTGAACCATTTTTATGAATTTTGCCAGCATTTTCCTATTTGAATGAAAAAAAAATTCTCACAGATAAACCAGAAAATAAAAAAATTTCATTCTTCTCTTGTATAAGCTGTCATATGTATTTTAATAAATTTTTTAAAAACGACGATAATGTCATTTTTTTTTATTTTTATTTTATTTCAAAATAGTTTGTTTTTTGAAACAATCATTCAATAAAACTTTCTAATTCTGTAAATTAAGAGAATATTTTTTTTAAAACATTTTAGGATTAATATTGAAAACTTTTTTTCAATTTGTAGTTATACAAAGATTAGATTTGGATAATTTTATTTTATTATTATTTTAAAATCATCATTTCGATTTCTGCTATGGACAACACTAAATAAAGTTTCAAAAGACCTAAGGCAGGTTATGTGTTGTTAATGTATGTTTTTTTCATTTTTTTTTTTTTTTTTTTTTTTTTTTTTTTTATTTAGAAAAATGAACATAGACAAAACACCTTAGTGTGTTGCTGTATTTAATAAGACAATTTTCTGTATGTCTCTTAAGCATGGGGTTTCCAGAAATAGATTCTTTCAATGTGTTGTTTTGTTCCATTTTTATAATTCCAAGTTAAAAATATTACCACTGGTATTATTCTTGTTTTTAATTTCCACATTTTTTTCTATTTCAATTTCCAAATCTTTGTATTTTGATAGTTTTTCAAATTTTTTTGGTTGCTAATTTCAATCCGGAAAAAAGTAAATATCAATTAGTAGGCAAATTTTTTTTTTCTGGTTTTTGACAATAATGTAAAAGATTAAACCTTCAATTTTTCAAAATTTGGTATAATCCCATCAAATTGACATCTTCTATTTTAACAAACATTTGTTCATTATTTTTTTGCTTAAAATTTTCCATTAAAATCATTATTATTATTATTATTATTATCATTATTCTTATCATTATCATTATTATTATTATTATCATTTTTATTCTTATTCTTATTCTTTTCTTTGATTTTGGCGTTTACATTTCTTTCCGGGTCCCGCCCAGGGACCTAAGGTTAGAAATGGCATCATGACACTTTCCACTGACAAAAAATAAATTATATAGATAAAAAGCCCTTCGTAAAAGTGGGCTGTACTTGTCAGAACAATTTTTGTATCTCCTTGAGGCATGGACTTCCAGGAATCCCTTCAATTAGTCTACTGGAATCTTTTCCAACCAGTCCTAGGGCTCCAACTACAACAGGGATTGTTGTTCCCATATGCCACATTTTCGAGATTTCTATTTCAAGATCCTTGTATTTTGACAACTTTTTGAATATCTTCAAAGATATATTGCAGTCACCAGGGACTGCCATATCAACAAGGATACACTTTTTTGTTTGTGGTCTTTAATAACAATATCTGGGCGGTTGGCCTTGATTGTTCTGTCAGTGTGTATTGTGTAGTCCCATAGAATTGTAACAGGTCCTATCTTCGTAACCGGGTCTAGGTGGTGTTCATACCAGTTTCTTTCAGTTTCCTTCCCGTAGAAGTTGCAGATTTTCCAGTGCAGATATTGGCCCCTTCTGTCATGTCGGGTTTTATATTCAGTGGGTGCCAACACCGTACAACCTGATACAAGATGATCAATCGTTTCTGGATATTTATCACAGAATCTGCATTTTGGGCTGACACAATATTTTAGTATATGTGCTTGATAATTCCTAGTTAGCAAGCATTGGTCCTGCGCAGCAAGGATAAAAAACCTTCAGTTTCCGCTTTCAACCCTGCACTTCGTAGCCACTGATGGGTACGGGTTTTGTCTACGTCAGCTTGTTTGGTACGGGCAGAGTATTGGCCATGAAGCGGTTTATCTTGCCATTGCTTCTGTAACTGGTCTGTTGCATTCGTCTTTGCTATCTTTTTTTTTAGGTATTTTGCAGTTTCAGCCGGTGTATTGTGCTGTAGTTGCATCTCTACGCCCATTTGGAACTCCATTTTGAATTTGTTGGCTTCTTTCATTACGGAGTAAAGACGCTTACTACTTTCATGTTCCTTGACGCATACCATCATCCAGTCTTCTGTAGTTTCCAAACATATTTGGAGGCCAATTGTTGTAGTTTTGTAGGACAGTTCTAGTTGAACTAATCCTCTGCCTCCTTCGGATCTGGGCACATACAGACGATCAACATCAGCTTTGGAATGATGCATGCGATAGCAAGTGAGAAGCTTTCTCGTTTTGGCATCCATTCGCTTAATTTCAGCTATGGTCCAGTTAAGGACATTAAAGCTGTATTGCACCACAGGGACAGCCAATGTGTTTATGGCTGATATCCTGTTTTTTTGAGTTCAGCTCAGTATTTAGTACCAGACGTACACGCCTGTAGTATTCTTTTTTTATTTTTTCCTTCATTTGGGGGTGTTGTATGCCATCTCCTTCGCTAATTCCTAGGTACTTATAAGCTTCACCATGCTCCAGTTCCCTAATCTTTGTGACAAAATCTAAATCTACTAAGGGTGTTTCTGTAATTCTACCTTTCTTGAAAGTTACTTTTGCACATTTATCTAATCCGAAGTCCATACCTATGTCGTCACTGAAGTATTTTACAATATTGAGAAGGCCTTTCAACTCATTGTCGTCTTTGGCAAAGAGTTTGAGATCATCCATGTAGAGTAGGTGATTGAATATTTTCTTATTTATTTTGTAACCATAGCTACTGTTGTTCAGTTCATGTGTAAGGGATTAAGGATAAACAAAACAGAAGGGGTGACAGAGAATCTCCTTTGAAATTCCACGTCGGATATTCAGACGGTTGGATATGGCAGTGCCCCCGGTGGATATGTATAGTTTGGTGTTCCAATATCCCATGTGTAAGGAAATTTAATACCACAGGGGAGACTTTGTACATTTCCAAAGTCTTAAGGATCCAAGAATGTGGAACACTATCAAAGGCTTTACGATAATCAATCCACGCTGCACTTAGGTTTCTAATCGTCGTCTCCTGCAATTTTCCAGGATCATTTTATTTATCAGAAGTTGATCCTTGCAGCCATATGAACCTCTTCTGCATCCCTTCTGTTCCAGCGGGAGAGTGCTGTTTGTTTCGAGAAAGGAATAAGTACCGTTTGTCAATACAAACATCGTTATTATTATTATCATCATCATCTTCTTGTTGTTGTTGTAAATTTTTCATCTGGTGGATTTCATTAGAGATCAAGGGATAGCAATACTCTAGTGTTCTTGCTGATTTCTTTGTTTTCTAAATGATTTTATTGCTTTCTTTGATTCTCACATCTTATTTTTTTAATTTTTTGTTTTGCAAGAATCTTGAGATTGGTCTAAGTACTCCTGTTATTAAGGGTACTATTGTTATTTTTGTGTTGCAAAATATCTTTTTTTTTTTTTTTAAAAGTATTTATCATTTCTTCAGATATATTTTTTTTTCTTTGCACATCATAATGTGGCAAGATTCAAGGCATAATCTTCTGCATTCTGGACAGATCTATTCCTTTGATCTATTGAAATTTTCCCAAGATTAGAGATGTTTTGTCACGAATATTTACTTTTATATAGTATCCTCACAGATCCCCTCTAAAATTACTTTATCCGTTTTAGAAATTTGATTTTGTTTCCCAACACCTACAATTTTATCTTCTTCAAGTCTAGGGTCAACTGATCATATGTATCCTCATGATCTGCACTTACTTCCTCTCCATGTCCATACAACAATTTCATTTATTAACCCTCTAGCTTGTGTGGCACTTGGGCCTTGTATTGAGTAAATAGTTAAAAAAAAATTCTTGGTAACACCATGGTCTCTTTTACTTTTTATGTGCTATATCCTTTCAGGACGTTGGTTTTCCATCATGGCTCTCCACCTCCCTCTATCCCTTGCAGCTCTCAACAAGTTCCTTCCCTCTTTATTCCTCCCCCAGACCATATGAGGTGTCATCCACTTAAGTCCGCCAGGTATGTCATTTCTACTATTGTTTTCCTTGTTTTACTTTCTCCTCTATTCGACACATGAGTATCAAATTCTCCAGGCCCTCCTTCCTCATTATGTGTCCCCATCATTTCTTCAGCTGCCTCTTCCTGATATTAACTAAAAGCCTCCTTGTTGTTTGCAACCTCATTAAATCTCATCGTTGCTCACATGCTCGATCCATGATATCCTTAGCATCCTTCTGTAGAAAACATATCTTTTTTTGCTTCAAGTCTCTTCTTCATCTTTGAGGAAATCATCCAACATTCACTGACGTAAAGAAGTATAGATGTCATGTAACATGTTCAGTATTCTTTTTTTTATCAAAGAAATCTTTGCTGTCTCAATTTAGTTCTCTGCCCAGCTTTTGGAATGTGTCCTTTAAAATTCCAATACACCTTTGATCTTTTTGTTGCATTTTACTGTCCTCTGTCAAGACACTTCCCAGATATTTAAACTTCTATGTCTGCTTGATTCTAGTGTTTCTGACCTTCAGATCATATTTCTGGCTCATCCTCTTACTGATGACCATGCACTTCGTCTTCTTATAGTTTATGCTTAATCCATTCTTCTTCAATATTTATACCTAAACAATAGGAGATTTTGTAATTTCATTTCCATTCCGTTTCATTGTGTTCCTTGTTCCAGTGTCTTTAAAAAATGTTACTGTTCTTGTCCATCATCTTGGAATGATTCTTTTTAACTTTTCC